GAAAGCAGAACGTCCGCTGCTTGCGAGGCTCTCGCCTGCGGATCCCTCTCCTCCAGCGCATTCATTAGGGGTTAAAACGGCCTGAGATTTCGGGACAAGCTCTCCGCCTTTTTTTTTGTATAATTTGCTATGAGCCACTGACTTGGTTTCTTTTTTTCCTGGTGTCCATTGTGTGCATCAGTGACCCTTTCAAAGGGGGAGGAAAAGAAAAGGAATTAATATGAAATGCTTCTAACAAAAAGTTGTATTAGTTATTGATGGTGGATACTGTTTGCAACAGGACTGTGTGACTAATAGCGAGTTCAGTTGGCTGTTAAATAGCTTTTGTAGAAACGTCATAATAAAGTTGTGTTTAAATAAAAGTACTCCTTAGGCTTTTTCAGCAAGTAGTTATTTGGTTTCATGATGTAAAGTGCAAAGCAGATTTTAAATGATAAATAACTTGAAAATAAGTTTGGCTGCTTTTAAAAAAGGAATATTTTCTAGCTGTGAAAGTTTGTTACGGGGCTGGTACTAGTGCCTGCAGTAGGCACCACAGGCGTTTGTGTGAAAGATAATGTTAACGTCCTTTATGAAGATGGAGCGTTTGTCTGATTTGTGAAAATTATTTTTAAAGCCTTGGGTGGATGGAGAATCAATTGTTTAAAAAACTATTTCAGTATTTTAAAAGGCCTAATACGTTTATCGTGATTTACAGAGAGCATTGCTCTAAGTTAAACATTCAGTTTGGTGTAATGGACCAGTTATTAATAGAATGTGCTAAAAGCTGCAACTTTTAAACTCAGTTGTTTGCTATGTATAAAAAAAAATATTTCAAAGACTTGGGGACATTAATATTTCACAGTCTTAAGACCCAAAACCTGTAAATGGTTTTAAAAACTTGACAACTTTTTCTGGTGTGCACATGGAACTTTTAAGTTTTGTGGGATTTTTGTTTGTTTTAGTGATGAGATTTTTAAATGACATAAATAATTTTAACATGTCTTTTGAAATATTTGGTATACTGAATTTTTAAAACTCATTTAAAATTTTAAACATGCAGGTATTCTGTAAATACAAGTAGAGATGTGATTACAATTTTCGTATGTCACCTGTCAGAAATGTTTAAATATTTGGCAAATTTACTTGACACAGTGAAGTGACCATTTTTACAAGTGTTAAAAAAATGATAGTATCATCAATTAAATGCTAACCATTTTGATAATACTCTTAAGATTTTGACATGCATTGCTTAAAGAAAAGAATGGAAGCCAGAGTACTACTATACTTACAAAATTGCCCCTGGAGAAAATCACTATTTCTTTTTGCAACAACTTTAAAGTTGTTGTTTTTAAATGTATGCTATAATATGTCTAAGTTCATCCAGGATAGTATCATTGTATTATTAGCACTCAAAAGGAAACAAAGTTGAATGTTAAAAAGTATTTTCTATTTCACATTTCAAATGATTGATTTTAACTTTATCGCTTGCCTCAGGGTAGCCCATTTTACCAAGCCGAAGAATTATTTATTTTTAACTTGGATTTTCATGTTAATTTGACAAAGTTTTTATTGAAAATAAATATTTAAATAGTTCATATTAATAGACTAATACTTTTTTTTACAAGTTCTATAGGGTAGAAATGCATAAAATTTATATTACTAATAGGGAATTTGTTGAATAAGTAATTGGATGTATTGGGATAGTTTTAAAGTTAATTTGTGACATTTTTATGTGGTCTTTTTAAATTATACTTCTTTAAGTGCACTTGAAGGTTTAGATAATTTTGCTGAATTGAAATGAGACTGATCCAAAAACTATGATTTATTTTCTGGAAGTTATTATTTTCTCTAGAAAAGTTGATGCTTTGCTTTGGTTAAGGATTGCTTGCTTTATCTCCAAACTATTCATAAATTTGTGTGGTTGACTGTATGTAAAACTATAGTAGTAGTTTATTTCTATACATAAGTTGTCTAACAAAGTCTTTATAGGGATTAAGTAACATAATATGAATGTGGTAATCTTAATGTAAAACCTTAATTAATATAAACTATGGTAGTTCACTTTTATTCATTTCAAAAGACTAGGGATGGAGGCTTTCCCTCTGAAGTTTTTGCTGATTTTTGATGTTTTATATTTAGGTTCTTGGTAGCTCTCCATATACAGTTTTATTCAAATAGGTCACACTTAGCTAACTTGTAAGAAATTGTCATATAATGAACCCTCACAGTTTACTAGAAAATACTATTTAGCAGAAGATCTGATCTTTCCATCCATTCTCTGACCGTTTATTTCACTATTGTAGAAAGGCGTTTGTTTTTCAGTTTCAAATTTCTACAGCTGAATAATAGTTTAATTTTATTTGAAGTAGATAAACATGTTGCCATTTATCCCCAGACTTTTTAATGTATGTGAATAATTTTTATTTAAAATTTTAAGAAATTGGTTAAAGTTGAAAACAATAAAAATGTGTTTCAGAAGACATCAGAGTGATGATATATTTCAGTTACGTACTTATGTATATGTTTCAGAGGAAATGTGTATATGAGAACTTTCATTAATGTGCCTGCCCCCTCTGGTTAATGCCTTGAGCCAGGAGTAGTAGGATTTTGAATAGGGCAAGCCTATCTTGGCTTCCCATCAATAGATTTTTAGATATTGAAGCATCAGAAAGGCCTCATCTTTTTATCTTTCTTGGATGGTTTCGCCCCCAGGATGGTCCCATTACACAGATCCAAGAATAGAATTAGAATGAAATGTCATTCCACTTTTTAATGAAAATTGCACCTTGGCCTTTTAAAAATGGTAACGACATAGAGCATTTTAATGTATCATTAGAAACTTGATAACTTTGAGCTAAATAGGCATGTTACTCTATAGAAATCTTTTTTATGTGTGACAGTCCCGTATACGTACAGTTTAATCGTGTAATTTTTGTGATGTTGCTGGTTTGCCCTTTTGAAGCTTAACCTCCGAGATGATGTGGTGAAAATTGCAATCGATTGGAACAAGCTCCAGAGCCTCTCTGCATTCCAGCCTGCTTTGCTCTTTAGTGCTCTTGAGCAACACATTTTGTATTTACAGGTAAATTCTCGTTTAAAATGTTGACTCGATATAGGTATAATTGTAGTTCAATTATAAGCTGGAGTATTTGTCAGTTCTATCTTAACACTGTATTAATAGTATTATTAATAAAAGATTAGTTCATCCAGACTGGATCCAACTCTGTCAATGTACATACTGATAAGGACAGTTACGGGAATATAGCCCAATAGGCCAATGTGGGTATGAAGACTGAATGAATGCAATTCTATTCAATTCTAGACTTGTACAGAAAATTCAAGGCAGTTGCATCTATGGTGGGTTATAATTAAGCAATAAGACACGGCAGGTGTGTGTCATGCTATGATAATGATTCCATGCCTTGGGTGAGTTTGGAGGCTCATGGAGTGCTTTCAGTGGTTCAAGAAGTGGCATTATCTCAGCATGACACATCCTGGAGTGTCTATTGCAATTAAACAGTTTCAGCATAGTTTTTAAAAAGAAAGTAATTTCTGTGGCATTAATGTCTCATCTTAGTGAGTATCCAGTCACTATTTTCTCTCTTCTTTTTCTTAACAGTTTGAAATAATTCATACTTTGTAGTAGAAGTCAACATTGAATTGTTATTTATAATAGTATTGCCGTTATATAGTTTATCAGTTCAGTAACTGAACTGGTCTTGCTGGTTTCCAATTGAACATGTCTGCTGTTATAATTGATGTAAGTTTGCAGTTTAGTTTATCTCTAATCAAAATATAAAATATGAAGTGTTAAAAAGGTAATTGGAAGAACTGTTTGGATTGGTCGGTTTGCTGCTATTGAAATGTAAGATTTTCAGAAGAGTATTTGGTATATCAATGGAATCAAAATTGTAGGTATGAAAAAATAATTGAAACATTGGCAAGTGTTGGTGTGGTGTGTTTTGATTAATGGAATAGACATTAATTTTCAGCCTTCTGTTCAGTGACTTTATGGAAATTTTAACTCTATTTTATGTTAAAAGTAATAGTTAACCCTAGTTTTAAAGGGCAGCAGCAATGAGCTATAGAATTCAGTTGAGGCCTAATTGTGGTGGGAACATGAGCAGTGTTATACAAGGGTATTCCCACCGCTCCCCACCCCCCACCGGCCGCCCTCTAGTATAGAGATAGGCATCTATCTCTTTTCAGCTATGAATCTTGGTAGGTTTTTTTTCTTTGTTCACTTTCTTTGTAAAAATTTGATTTCATGACCCAAGAAGATATCTTGCTATGTCAAGAAAAGCCTGGATGTTCACTCAGCATAACACCTATGAGTTTCATGTCTGTGCTCTCTCATTCACTTTGGCCAACTGCAGTTTCAAGTGGAGAATCTCCAGTGATATAGTGATAATGCAGGGCTTTGCTGAGTGAGAGCACTGGGTCTCGTGTTAAGGAGGAAAAATACTAAGCCTAGTGTTCTGAGGAGGCATTTGAATGACATGTTAATTAAGTGGCATTGGTGCCAAAGGCTGAGGCTTTGATTTGGCACAAAATAAAAGATGAGTGACAGAGTGATTCCCTCAAAGAAAAATTTAAATTTCCTCAGGTTTTCTTTCTCTCTTTTAAAAAAAAAACAGATTTATAATAAATGATAATGGTCACAATAGTAGAGAACAACAAATATGGTGAGATCTATGTATTCTGATATGCCAACTTTTTATATTTAGCTAATTGATATTAAATACTGCATTTATGTAGCAGAAATTTATATACATATATTAAATGTATAATTAATTTTGATCAGTTTGAACCCCAGCAGATGGCATTGTGTTCTCAGCCCTTTTTAGCAAAACTTCAGCCTCTGATTAAAGAGGAGAATACAACAGTTGTTGAAGAGATAGGAAAAGCAGAAACAAGGAACAAAAATGAAGTAGATGGCAAATTTCCCATTGGAGACCTACAGGAGGAAGAAAAGCACAAAGATTGTGATTTAGGAGATGTGAAAAAGACACAGATCCATTTTGATCCAGAAGTAGTTCAAATAAAGGCTGGAAAAGCAGAAGTAAGAAGTTTTCTTTTTTTGGGGGG